CAGCACAACTTAACATCACATTCATCTCAGCACAGAAAGAAAACATGGTGTCTGACCTCAGAGTCTCCAGTCTACAGTGTGGACTCTCCAGAAAACCACACAGCAGCTTCACTCCTGAATCCTGCAGGTTGTTGTTACTCAGGTCCAGCTCTCTCAGATGGGAGGGGTTGGACTTCAGAGCTGAGCCCAGAGAAGAACAGCTGATCTCTGACAAACTGCAGTAACTCAATCTGAATAAAGAATAAAAGATGTGAGTTTACAATGAAACAGTTCAGTCAGTAGAAGCATTATATAGTTTCATATTATTGGTGGAAAAATAAAATGCTGAATATATTTGTTATTGTCTGATGGTTGAAATAGAGATTATTGAACTACTCATTGTATGTCTGTATTTTCTTCATCAAACAACACCAACAAAAAGAGACGCAGAAGAAGAAGAAGAAGAAGAAGAAGAAGAAGAAGACAAAGTCAAACACACACATCTCTGTGTCACTACCACAGTCATCTTCATCAGCACAGTCATCTTCATCAGCACACAGCTGACTGACTGTGAGCTTCATCCTCAATCAGCTTAATAACTGGATCCAATGTGAGCCAAGTTCTCTGAATCTGAAATGTACTCTGGTTCCACTGGTGTAGTTCAGGGTCCCCCCCCCCCGATGCCACCATTCAGTAATATCTGCGAGCCAAATTGCCCATTTTTCCCCTAGGATGGTGAAGCCATGACCTCTAATTGGCTCGTACTCGCTGCCTTTACTGATTGGATTGGTGAACTTTAGGTATGAATGAGCCAATCAGAGAAGGGCGGGTCATGTCGAGGTAAATATTGCTAAAGACAAATTCACTTTTACAAGTTTACTTTAAATGATTTGCCTTTAGGATTTGTAATGAACTGGTAAGATGAAGCGAGCTATCCAAACAACAAATTTCATTTGACAATTACAAACATCAACATCAGCCAGCAGCTCAGCTAATGTTAGCGCTGCTACACTGGTACGTCGACGCCCACTCTGCCCCCCCCGGTCGGAGAGGATGCTGTCAGTGAAGGAGATGCTGAGTCTCCGCCCACAGTCAAAGATGCTGGTACCACTTGGGATGAAGACGTCAACTACAGTAGGTGGGCGTGGGCCCTTTATTTTAATTTCTGGACCTTGTAAATGATGTTAATAACATGTCAGGGCTCGACAGTCACAGATATAGCTACAGCTACATCATGTGTAAGTTACGGAGCCATGGAGGTGACATGACTTTTATTTAATGTCACCTCCAGGGCTCCGTAGTAATTGACTGTTTACGGGGAAATTAAATTAATAATTAAATAAATAAAATGAAACGGATTATGACAACTTTACACTTTTGAATGGGTTGTGGTCATTGTTTCCCTTGTTACATTTATAACCTGTAATTCAATCACTTTTGTTATTTTATAACCTGTAATTCAATCACTTTTGTTGTTTTATAACCTGTAATTCAATCACTTTTGTTGTTTTTCTGTAGACATTAATAATGACCTGTGGACTGCCAAAAAAAAAAAAGATTTAAATCCGAGAACCCCTGGTTGGGATCCAAAAACAAAAAAAATGTGTAAGTTTAGGTAGATTGCTAGTTTGGGTAACTTCTGAAACAGTGGACACAGAGAAATATTGTGTGTGTGTGTGTGTGTGTGTGTGTGTGTGTGTGTGTGTATTTATATCTAACGAGTTATGCTAAAATAGTGTTTATTTCACTTTTGAGTTTATCTGATTGGTTTTGATGTTGAAGAGAATGATTTGCGTGTTTTTTAATCTAAGGTGAAATATGAACAAGGATGCATTGTCAAATTCAGATCTGAAGTATTTTATTTAAATATATGTTTGCCTCATCTATATTTTACATTCATGCAGGCTGACTGTGACCAGTAATACCTACAAACTGCTCCTGATCAAGTCATGTTCATTTTATAATAGTGGCACACTCTGGCCCATGCTATCTGTTGCAATCAGCTGTTCAAAGACAGTTTACAAAAGAAACTACTGACTTGTAAAGTGAGAGAATAGTTGTCCTTCCAGGAATAAGGAATAGTTCACTCAAAATGCATAGTTGTCTCTCATTAGTCTGTGGGCCAGTATTGGTTTAGTAATTTCATAATCCTTCCTCCCTGAGATCAAGCAGCAGAAATATATTTTTTATATATATATTTTTATATTTTTTATGTATACATTTGTCTGTCATGTAAAAAGAAATATGAATATTGATATGATTGATGATTTAGCAGCAGGACACATGAAGATAAATCTTACAGTTTTCTTTCTAACATCAATCCAATCTGAGTGCAAACAGAGTCATTAGATTTGGTAGATATACACAGAGCAAACACATCAACTGACCTCAGAGTCTCCAGTCTACAGTTTGGACTCTTCAGTCCAGCAGACAGCAGCTTCACTCCTGAATCCTTCAGCTCGTTGTTACTCAGGTCCAGCTCTCTCAGATGGGGGTTGGACTTCAGAGCTGAGGCCAGAACTTCACAGTGAGTTGATGAGAGTTTACAGTCAGAAAGTCTGTGAATACAGAGAATATAACATTTAAAACAAACTCTGACACTTTTATTATAAAAACAGACTCTGTGCATTTAGACCACAGAGCACATTAACATGAGCGGCTGTAGCTCAGCTGGTCAGTTGGTCAGACAGTCTTTGGTCACAAGGTTGCTGGTTTGAAACTTGAGCTCCTCCGTCCACATTCAAAGTGTCCTTGAGCAACATAACGAACCCCAGATTGGTGCTTTGGACACAAACATGTTGGATTCATTTACAGGGTGCTGCATTGTGTTTGTTAAACTTTATTCAGTGTGATGTTCAATGAGCTGTATCATCACTGTAGGTTGTAACTGCACTGCAGTGACGTGCGGTGAGGTTCATGGCTGGTGAGGCACTGACTTCATCAGAATCAGATTTATAAATGTAACCCTCCTACTCAATTCTAACAAAATGTTTACCTTGATTACTTTTAATCAAGTTAACATGGGAGGTGAATTGGTAAGAGCCTACTAAATATGAAATGTCTATGCAATTACTTCAACTAGATAATCAGATTTTCACGAGGGTGCCAAATTCAGAGAACTCCCATGCATACTTTTTAATAACCACTTTCCTTTTCAGTCATAAAACACAATGTTTACTCTTTTTGCAACATGAATAATTAGTACACACCCAGTTTCAATTCAAAAAAATAGGGGAACATTTATTCAACATGACCCAAATAAAATAAAGAAAATAAAGAAAATACCCGGGGTTTTCAGTTGGTTCAGTTTATGGTACCATGAATTCTGGCGCGCAGTTGGAGCTCATATGAAGATCCTTTTTGATTCCACTCACAGTGGATAGCAACGTTGTTTGTTTAGTTCAAAACCTCTGTCCAGTGGCGGCTGATCAAAGTTGTGAAACTAACGTTAGTCCCTGTAGGAAAACCTGGCTCCTCACCGGCAGGTGCTCCGTCCTTCTCCTCCCGACTAGCAACGCTAATGCTAAGTAGCATACAGTCCACACGAGGCTTCAGTTTATGCGTTTGTTCAGCACTCACACCAAAACTTGTCTTCTTCGTCCTCTCAGCAGAGTCCAGACTGATAAAAACCCTCAGCGTTGTGTTGTTTGATGAATTAAAGAAATAAAACACAACAGCACAGCGTCTCGTAATTGTAACCGCGGACTGTAAGATGCTAGCTCGCTGTCACTGACTCTGCAGCTGTGCAGTAGCGTAAGAATCTCTGGGCTCACGAGTGCCCCCTACCATGAGGCAAGAGAACTACCTGCCTCACCTATAGTGCCTCTTCACTGCCGTTGTAAGATCGCTGAGCACACCAAACAGGTTACACACACATATATTATATACACCAGCTAAACTATGGAAAGTCAGGGGGGCAAATATTAAAAGTGTTTGAAACATTTGATTGGCGACATACTCAGAGACAGTAACACGCTCTCATTGCATGGCAGAGCAGAGTTTGTGAGGGATTGCGCAATCCAAGGTGAGGCTCAGTCTCACAAATTCAGCGATTTTTAATGAAAAACAATCAAAATTGATTAAGTTAAATGGAAATCGAGTTCATAGTTCAAACCATTTGATAAATATAACCATTTAATTTATTTGTTTATTATATATTGAATTTTTCCACGATGACCTCCTGACCGCACGTCACTGCTGCACTGCTATGTGTTTACCTCAGTTATGTGTTTGTGTATTTTGTGTCTCTGATCTTATACAATAGAACATTTTATTATCACATATACAATCATACACAGTACAACATATAGTGAATCCTGTCCTCTGCATTTAACCATCCTAAGTACTAGGAGCAGTGGGCAGCCACTGTACAGCGCCCAGCAACCAACTCCAGATCTAAACCAGAGCCATGGTCCAGGTCCAGGGCTCTGACTGGAGAAGTGAACATAATATGTGTGTTTTGATGGTGGTGGACACGGAGCAGCCGGAGGAAACCCACAGAAACACGAGGAGAACATGCCAACTCCACACAGACAGGCTCTTCTTGCTGTAAGGCGACAGCGGTAACCACTGAGCCACCGTGTTGTTATGTCACACCATCAGCTTTCTGTTCCCATTAAATTCATTTAATGACTCTGTTGCATTAATGGTCTGTTAAAGCCGACTCAGTGTTAAAGAAAATCCAAAATCAAGACAAAACCAACCTTCCATTTGTGTTGCAGTGTGTCAGTAATATAGTATATACTGTATATAATATAATTTAATATAATATATATAATATAATGTAATGTAAGATAAGATATATAATATAATATAGTACATATAATATAATGTAATATAATATAAGATATATAATATAATATAACATAACATAATATAATCTCCTGTCTGTTGTTTCTACATCAGGGTTTGAATCAGACGCTCTTTTGGGATTGTTTGTTTGAATTTGAGGAAGAAAATGTATCTAATTTCAGTTCCAACCTCTCCTGTTTCTCGCTGGGAACAAACTGGTTCTGTTCTTTTTCTGGCTCCCAGTTTCACCAGTGAGTGTGTGTGTGGTTAGGGTTTGTCTCTTTATAGGCTGTTTTATTTTGGTTCAAAATGGAGCTAATGTAAATTCTCTGTCTACTACATTATAGCATTCTAGTTTTTCTTATCTTTACTAATAATGATGGCTTCAGCTTTAAGTTGCTTTATAATTTTTATCACATGTGGACTTACACAGCCTTTCTGCAGTTCTTCACAGCTGGAATCAGTCTCCATCGTCCCTCCTGTGATGTGTTGTACTTCTTCAGGTCCAACTCATCCAGAACCTCCTCTGACATCTGCAGCATGATGGCCAGAGCTGAGCAGTGGATCGCAGAGAGTTTCTTCTCTGATCTGTTCTCTGACTTCAGGAACTCTTGGATCTCTTGATGGAATGAGTGGTCATTCATCTCCATCAGACAGTGGAAGATGTTGATGCTTCTGTCAGGAGAGGACTGGGTCTTCTTCTTCTTCAGGTTGTTGATGATTCTCTGGAGGGTTTCTGGACTGTTGTCTGTGTGACCCAGCAGACCTCCTAAGAGTCTCTGGTTGGACTCCAGAGAGAGGCCATGAAGGAAGCGAACGAACAGGTCCAGGTGGCCATTTTTACTCCTCAGGGATTTCATCATTGCTTCCATCAGGAAAACATCCAGAGTTGAATCAACATGTTTTTGACCCAAGAAACCCTTCAGTACCTCTGTGTTCCTGTTGGTGTAACAGTGGAACATGTAGACTGCAGCCAGAAACTCCTGAATGCTCAGATGAACGAAGCAGTACACTGTTTTCTGGAAGATCACACTCTCTCTTTTGAAGATCTCTGTACAAACTCCTGAGTACACCGAGGCCTCTGAGACATCAAGACCACACTGCTCCAGGTCTTCTTGGTAGAACATGATGTTTCCTTTCTTCAGATGTTCAAACGCCAGCCTCCCCAGCTTCAGAAGAACCTTCCTGTCAGCCTCTGTCAGCTCCTGTGGACTCGTCTCATGTCCCTCATCATACTTCTGCTTCTTCCTCTTTGTCTGAACCAGCAGGAAGTGTGAGTACAGATCAGTCAGGGTCTTGGGCAGCTCTCCTCTCTGGTTTGTAGTCAACATGTGGTCCAGAACTGTAGAAGTGATCCAGCAGAAGACTGGGATTAGACACATGATGTGGAGGCTCCTGGAGTTCTTGATGTGTGAGATGATCCTGTTGGACAGATCTTCATCACTGACTCTCCTCCTAAAGTACTCCTCTTTCTGGGCGTCAGTGAAGCCTCGTACTTCTGTTACCCTGTCAACACATTCAGGAGGGATCTGATTGGCTGCTGCTGGTCTGGAAGTTATCCAGACGAGAGCCGAGGGAAGCAGATTCCCCCTGATGAGGTTTGTCAACAGCACACTGACTGAAGACTTCTGTGTGACATCAGACACAACCTTCTTGTTCTTGAAATCCAGTGAAAGTCTGCTTTCATCCAGGCCGTCAAAGATGAACAAAAGTTTACAGACAGCGAGCTGCTCTGCTGTGACCTTCTGTAATGTTGGATGGAAAACATGGAGCAGCCTGAGAAGACTGTACTGCTCATCTTTGATCAGGTTCAGCTCCCTGAACGAAAGCAGAACCACCAGACTGACATCTTGGTTCTCCGAGCCCTCTGCCCAGTCCAGAGTGAACTTCAGCACTGAGAAGGTTTTTCCAACACCAGCGACGCCGTTCGTCAGAACCACTCTGATGTGTCTCTGTTCGTCAGGTAAGGCTTTAAAGATGTCGTGGCACCTGATTGGAGTGTCATGGAGGGTCTCCATCTTGGAAGCTGTCTCAAGCTGCCAAACCTCATGTTGGGTATTAACCTCTTCACTCTGTCCCTCTGTGATGTAGAGCTCAGTGTAGATCCTGTTGAGGAGGGTTCCACTTCCTGTTTCATCAGTTCCTTCAGTCACACATTCACATCTCTTCTTCAGACTGATCTTATGTTCATCTAAAATATCCTGCAGACCACCATTCACTAAAAAAAGGAAAATGTGTGAAAAGTTTGATTAATTTCATTATCAATATAAAATCTAACATATAGCAGCAATGAGCAGATTGCTTCCACATTTCTGACCGCCTGGGGACTCGAACCCTGGACCTTTGTATCCCCAGAGCAGGTAAATCAGTCCTTCCAGAAAAATGCAGTTTTTTTGTGATTGTTGCGGGCAAAAATCCTTGATTATGCGGCACGTTTTCTAAAAAATGCGATGGAATATGTGAGATATTTATGCAATTTTATGTGATGAAATTGTGGGAACTTGCAAAAACTGCGGTTTGATGAAAAAGAGAAAAAAAAATTATTCCCCAAACACCCTGTTCTCACTAGGCTTCTACCTTAATGTAAAGAGTCATTTCTTATTACTTCCTATGATAAGCAAACATACTACAGCACAGAAAGTGCTGGGAATATTTAAGTTCTCATCTTGTTTTATTTCAGACCTTAATAAACACATGGCTCAAACTTACAAAACACTGATGAGTCAAACTTCTGTAAAAATGAATAAATAAAATATATAAAAATAAAATGTGTGCTTCCTGTTTTACAGAGGTAGCTATACAAAACAGACATCTTCTGTTGTAAAGTGATTGTCCAGTGTCGACTTCTGCCTGTGGTCCAACACGCAGTTGCATGGAGTGCAAAATAATTTGCCCCCACTGTCATGTAACATACTGGGAAACTGCTTTGCGCGGTCTTTTGCGCTTATTTTTGTTGGCAAATGAGACTGATTTGCGGGCTTTCAACATGGCTTCATCGCGGGGTTTGCAGCTTTTCGATGATGTTCACGTCGCGTAATTACGTCACTTCATAACGTTCCCATGGCAACGGGAAAATGGCTGCTCTTGTGTGACGTAAACGCAACATTTTTCAACTTTCTGCTAAGATATATGTGACTTTTTTACAACGAAAATGCGGGGATTATGAAATCATGCAAGCCCCGCATGAATATGCAGACTTTGGCTGATTATGCATAATCGCATTTTTCTGGAGGGACTGGTAAATGAACCTGTACTTGTATAGCGCCTTTCTAGTCTTCTGACCACTCAAAGCACTTTTACACTACATGGCACATTCACCTTTCACTCACACACACTCAGTGATGGTAAAGCCCATCAAACAGAACTCATTCAGAATCTACAACCAAATGTAACCAGATGGCTCTGATTGGTGAATTCAAAGACAGGTGGCACTACCATGAAACCAAAACATAATCAATATAAATGTATTTCCTTTGGGTTCTGAGTTTCTATCAGAACGATTCATGAAGATCTTAAAGGTGCACTATGCGATCCTGCATGACGTCAGTTATGTTGTCGTTCAAAGTAAATACCAAACAAAACAGAGCAAGCTCGCCCCTCCCCCCCATGTTTTTTTTCGAATTGAGTCATGCAGCTACTCTCAGACACAACTCTCTCTCTCTCTCCCCCTCTCCCAACCATCTTGTCAGTGATTGGCTGGAACTGGTTTGTTGTATTTTGGTGCACAGCCTGTGCCCCTAGTGTTTGTTTGATGTTTATGAGCCGTGTTGTCTCCCGAGACCGAGACCAGGTTTTTTCACAGTGTATTCAGGGGGCGGGCAGCTAGCGGATCAAGGAGAGATGCCTACGATTTGAGACAAAAATTAAATCGCGCTGAAACCATGCAAGATCGCATAGTGCACCTTTAAATGGCTGAGCTGTATGACACAACTAATGGATTTAAACAACAAGTTTTCAGACATGATGACACTGCAGACAGATGTACAGTCTTATTATGGACAGTGCTGGACTCACTGGCTGTCTGCAGTCCAGGTCTTCTTCTGGGTCTTTTTCCACACTGGGGACAGGAGGCGTCTCCTGGTGAACCAGACTGGTCCCAGTATGAGGTGATGCACTGTCTGCAGAACCAGTGTCCACAGCTGGTAGAGACTGGATCCTTCAGGACGTCCTGACACAAAACACAGCAGGACGGCTGCTCGTCCACAGGAACAAGACTCCTCTTCCTCTCTCTGTGGAGACATTTCTTTATTAGTAAACTGATTTGTTGACTGTGTCCAATGACTCTGTGTAGAAGCTCAGATGGTCACAGAGAACAGTAAAAGTCTCGTTACTTTTCTGTTTGAATTCAGCTTTCAGTCTGTAATGAAACTATTGTTCCTTTTATTTCAACTCTCCTGCTTTCATGGACTCTAATGAACTGATTTTCTGTCTTATTAAACATTTAGTGATCAGCCTGTAGTTTGTTATTAATACAAACTCAACACTTCCTGCAGTACTTCACAGTAAAAGTCCTCCATAAAGAGATCTGATTATGTCCTTCACTGTTTTTTAGCCTTTTTTAGCAACAAATCTCCATTTGATCATTTTCTGTCCCTTTTTGATCGACTGATAACTTTTACTGAAGTTCTGCACATGGATGTTTGTTCTTCACCTTCAGGAACAATATACAGGGAGAGAATCTGAGCTCAAAGGTCCACTTACTGATGATTCAAAGCTTTCAACTGGAGCTCTCAATCATCAGTAAGCTGACCTTTGAGCTGAAAATGTCCTCAGCATATTTTACAGAAGTAGTTCATTAAAGAGCAAACTGTCACACACAGAATCAGAACAGCTGATCTGAGGAAGAGCCAAACTAACAAATACATTTGAAACTGATTCTTTCACATTTTCAACAGTTGCAAATCTTCACAGTGAAAATATGAGAATATTTGATTAAAGTGTAAATTCAGCTGTTTAGATATAGAAATAAAATATAATCAATCTCACTGTAACAGTCTGCACACTAATAGTTCTCCTTATAAATATCAATATTTGAACAGAACATTTAGTCTTCATCCTCAATGCATCATCTTCATCAGGTCAGTTTACAGTAAAAACGATCTCTTACTGTGAGTCTGAGGGTCCAGGTCCATTACTGAAGAATAGAGGAAGATCTTTGGACCGGTCACTCTTCATAGACAGACAGCTGGACACTACAGACTCTGCTCTGTGTCTGTTGGACTGAACTCTG